AATAGCTGCCGGCCTTTTGTTTACCTGAAATAAAAATCTTAAAGTCGCAAACCCATATGTATGAAGGGCGCCATATTGAAATTATGGTAATTTCCTGTGACGTCGCATAGTCAATTCCTCAAGGGAAACCCATGTGCTGACCTCTGCGAAGTTTGACATGTAGTTCATTTTAATCCTTTTTTATCGTCTTTTGGTTTGAAATGCCTAACTGTTGTGTACCTGGGTGCACAAACTATTCATCTAAGACCACAGATATTAGCTATCACAAAATCCCAACGGATCCAACTCTAAAGAAAGCATGGATCGCTCGAATTAGAAGAGACAACTTACCGCCAGCAAAGTATTGTTATGTATGTAGCGTTCATTTTGAGCCGGAGTGTTTTGAAGTTAATTTCATGGAACAGTTGCTTGGACAAAAGAGCAAAAGAAAGTTAAAGGCTGGTTCAATACCTAGTATATTTGACTTTTCGCCATCTTCAGCTCCGGGAAAAAGGCCGGGAAGATCTTCGTCTGAGAACCGCGTGAAGAGGAAACGTAACACAGAGGTATGTTATTTACAGCTTTTAGCTCAAGTTGTTTCCTGATTTTGTAATTTAGATGCTAGTTTTTTTAGATCCACATTACAACGTAATGCTTGATAAACATTTGATAAACAAGCTAAAAGCGGCCTGATAAACATTTGATAAACACGCCACAATTGGCTTGATAAACATTTGATAAACACGCTACAAGTGGCTTGTGTGACGCATTGGGTCAGTAAGATATTTTCTGCTAAACTAAAACCCTCCCTTTCCGAAATAAACACGTGAAATTTTTCATGCTTTTGAGACAATAAACKTTATTTTCACACAAATGAATATTTGTGTTACTATATGCTGATAACTTATTCGATGTGAAGCACGACACCYGCTGAAAAATGTCAAATTTTGAGCCCTATTTTCCTTTTTCAGACTTTAACTAATCTGTTAACTTCAAGTACCATGAACACTTGTGATTCTTTGGAGGACGATACCCCATCAACAGCGCCCGTAGTGGTGGACGAACCGGTAAAAGTTGACATAGGAACACAATGTAATTTGTCCGAGATTAGCTTTGCTAAAACTAACACTGTATCAACTCAAACAGACCCTCAATTTCAAGTTAATACAGGATTGTCAAACCCCAATGATTCCAACTCTCTATTTGATCATACTTATTACCACTCAATCACAAGTGTGTCGCCACAAAAATCTGAGATAAGCATATCACCACAAAAATCTATTAGAAGTGTTAGCTCCACTGCTTCAGGTCCATTGTTTACCAGTGACGGACTTGATGAAAGTGATGATGATGATGATGATTACAATTTGAGTTCATCCGAGGAAAATGAAAGTTGCATTGATTCTGACTCTGATCAAGAAGCTCTAAATTATGGAAAATTTGTGTCTGAAGCAAAGTGCTTGGTTTTTGAAAGCTGCCTTAAAAAACTGTTTACATTCTGCAGTAGCTGCGGCGCCATTGTAACTGACACGAAGATCACATATACTGGATGTCTACTAAGGCCCAAGTCGCATTACACCCCAAAAATTGGAATTCAACTGGAAAATTGTTTCAAAAATATTTCCAATTTTTCCGGAAATGAAATATTTTGTTATAAAATTTGCAGTCGCATTACAAAGATTAATTATAGCGTGATATTATATTTCACCCCAGTTCCCGCCAATTCAAATGTATAAACACTGTAATTCCCGCCAAATGTAATTGTAGTACCGGCTTCGCGATGAATCAACAACAAATTATTCCTCTTGTTACGATTGTTTTAATTCTTCTTTACAACCAGATTCAACAACAGCAAATCTTTGCATTTTTTTTCCTCTACGAGGCATGGCTTGCCGATTATGCGCTAGTATTAAATGCAGTGATTCTTCGAAGAGCAAGACGTCGTCGTCGAAGAATGAGAACAGCACCTTATGCTTGGCGAATAAATAGACCACAAGAATCATGCTTCGATGTATACTACAATGATTTAACGGTCCCCGATGAAAGCTTTAAAGAACTATTGAGGGTTAACCGTGCTACATTTGATGTGTGTTGGCACTAGGTTGCTTGTTGTTTACTCGCCAAGACAATGAGTTTAATTTTCCATTGAAAACTAACATAACTCTTACAAATGTGTTCTCTGCTAACATCTTTGCCGCCTAGACAAATTACATGATTTATATAATGTCACATGATACTTGAAAATTTGCATAATCTTGAATTAGCCGCTACAATGTGATATTGAATATCCTTGCTCCAAGATTGAATAGACAGAACTCTATGTTTAGAGATTGCTTGCCCCCAAGTAAAGTATTAGCTATTGGACTCTATCGGCTTGCACACGGGAATTCGTACGTTAGTATTGCTCCAGCATTTTGTGTCGGACGGACAACGGTTATTGAAGCAGTACAAGACGTAGTAAACGCTCTATATGATATAAGGAACGACTACATTAAATTTCCAGAGACTCCAGCGGAAGTCCAAGCATCGATAGAAACATTTAATGGGCTCGGTAGTTTGCCAAATGTTGTTGGCGCGATTGATGGTTCGCATATACCAATAAGAGCYCCARAGGAAAGTGCAGCTGATTATTTCAGTAGATATCAACAATACGACTTTATCATACAAGCCATTGTAAACGGCAAAAGATTGTTTATTGATTTTGCTTGTGGTTTTCCGGGAAGCATGCACGATTCACGCGTATGTAGATGCAGTGATGTATACAGAAATGCAGAACAGCGAACTATACTCACTGAGCCTGTTGTGAATATAAACGGGGATGAAATTGGCCCATATTTAGTTGGAGACAGTGCCTATACATTATGTCCGTGGCTAATTAAACCTTACCCTGAGGGAACAAGAGATCCTGACGAGATATTGTTTAATAAAAACTTGTCCTCAGCTCGAGTACAAGTGGAGTGYGCGTTTGGCATTTTGAAAGGCCGCTGGAGAATTCTACAAAAGCGTTTTGACAGCAAGATCAACTTTGCAATCAAATGTGCTGTCGCCTGCGCTGTTTTACATAACATTTGCCTTCAAAACGGCGATGACTGGGATGACGAATATGAGGATGCTAATGYCCAGCAAAACCCCGGAGCAAATGTGTTACGAGATGGAGACGATATAAGAGACAAACTAAAGGACTACATCGCTCAATTGTAACTGTGTTTAATAAACTTATAATCATTATGGGTACTAGAACTATTCTCATTTTGTTTGATAATTTCAATCACAAATGCCATCTTTTTACGAAAATTACACGTTGAATTGTAATCATAAAGATAAATTCTMAAATCATCTTAAATGGACGCATGCACATATTAAATTTTAAATGGATTCAATCATATCCAAACCTTTTATCTAAAATTGTTATAAAGGTCATGACAAAGTTATTTCTTAATTAATTTTTTGAACTGAAACAATATGTACTGTAATTGATATAAAATAAWTGTTCATACCGTTTAGTCTTTCTTACTATTCTGTAAAAATGACGTAAGGGCCCCTACAAGAGCGTTCATGGTTTGTGTCTGCTCCTTTTGTGCTTTGGAATAGTTCTCCATAAACCTCGACATACTCTCGCGCGTTGTTCGTTCATGCCCTTGAATGCATTGGCTAGAAGCTCTCTTTCTTCGCTGTCGTCCTTGTCCGCTCTAGCTCTCTTTCTGCTCTTCTTTCTCTCGGTTCGTTTTTCTTGCTTCGATTCTGTAGACTCCTCATCGCTCTCATCAGATGCCGAATCATTACTAGCAGYAATTTTAGATGCGCCAACATCAGCAACATGTTGCAGCGTTACAACATCGCGACAACCTAAAACTTGGTCGATTGAATTGTAAAACGGGGACTCTCTCCTATGGCCACCASATTGTTTACGATTCCAGTCTTTTGCAATCTTGTAGCGATCGATTAAATACTTAATTTTTTGTTTATACTTGTCTGTATCTCTCTTGAGCTTGAACTTGTTATTAAGTAGTTGGGCTATGTCGTCCCATACTTTTCGATTATCTTTGCTGTCGAGCTCTTCGTACTTTTCAGCCCACAGGTTCACTAGGGCCTTTTGTTGCTCTTCTGTGAATTTATCGTAGGTCTTTTTGGCCTTTGGCCGAGGCTGTACATCTTTACTTGAACTCGATGGTTGACTTGAACTTGATAGTTGAGAGCTATCACTAGCGTTCCCACTAGAAGAATKACTTGAGACTACGGTAGGACTCGTACTAGAATACCAACCAGTACTTTCTTGTGGAGACGGCGATTGATTACTATTATTGAACTGCATTTGAGCTTGATAAGGTGCATATGGATTGAAATATCCTCCAGGATAATAGTAGCCTCCTTGACCGTTCATGATCACTGCCGAAGACACTTTAGAAAGTGATCACGTAGCAGTGTTCTGTTAACTCTTCATTTGACATAATCTGTCATTACCGGATACGGCTTCTTTTGTTCATCGAAAAATTTTCCAAATCATCCTGCCCCACCCAAGCACTACGGCGYCTTTGAAGTTTTTACTGGTTTGGAAAATTTTTACGATCTGGAAAAATTAGAGTCGCATTACAAAACGTCTCTTGTTGACAGATACCGAGGGGATTAGTGACACGTTTTGGTCAAAAACTACTGTAATGCGACTTGGGCCTAATTCATAATATATGATTAATAACAGGTAAAGTGTAAACCAGTGTCATTTTGAAGAGATTTCGAAAAACATATATAAGGAGTTGATGCCATATC